ACTTATATATATATATATATATATATATATATATATTTGAAGAATATCTGAGTTCACGTCAAAGCAATAATTATTAAAGAATTTTAAAAACGCGAATCTTGTTGTTGTTGATCCAGAACATATTAATGTGTAACATTTTGAAATGTGTGCAATTGGTGTGCAATTGGCTTTGAAGAATTTTTATTTAATTAAAATGATGTTTCTGGAATTAAGAATTAAAGCATCGATAAAGTAGACTTCTATTGAATCTATACGACCTCCATTTGTTGCTGCTACGAAAAATATCACATCAAATTTATTCGTTTACGTACATATAATTATTAAACTATGTAGGTATTAGATATAATGTTAACTTGAATCTGTAATGATTAATTGTAAAAAAAAAAATTAGTAGTGTCGTTGTTGTTCTTACAATTAATATTAAACGAACAAACGTAAAACAAAATGTTCTGTACAGGTAAAAAGTCTGTAAAGATACAGTTAATTGAATCGTATTAAGATCAATACTAAATATCATTTAGGAAGAACGTCCGTTATAGTAAGAAACGAGCAATGAAGGAACAAAAACCCCTTAAAATGCATTTTTGCCTCTTTGCAGCATTTTCAGCTATCGATAACAAGTTGATCGATAATTTTGTCTATTGAAATTTTTATCAAACGTTAAAAAAGTAAATTTTTTACAAGACGTGTTAAGAACTGAAAATTTTTCGATATATTTTAGTTAAAACGCTATTGTTATTTGACAACAAAATTTAAGTACTTTAACCTCTTTATCAAGTGCAATAACCTAAATAAAACGTCAACGAAAATCAGCAATGAAAACGATATTGATGATTTAAAAAAGTAACGCATTTTAAATATGTCAGAGAAACAATGACACGATTGTTTTAGTTCTTCATTGATATTTATAAATAGGCAATTTAATTATTTTAGATTTTTCTTAATCCTTTAGTAACATGTGCACGAAATTTGATCTCGTAAAGCACGTAAGACGAGTAGAAAAGTGTATTTCGTTTTGATTATTATAAATAATTTCTAATGGCATCGAGTATTGAAACGTAGAAAGAAAAAGATCGAGAGTGTCAAAACATTCCCAAAAATATCGAAATAGAATACCTCTAAATCTAATCGATCTGTAATTTATAAATATATAAATATACATATAAATATATAATACAGAACACATGTATGTAATGTCGTAATGTGTAATTATACGTGTATGTATGATCTGTAATTGTGATTGAATAGTAATTAATTATGATGTATGACAAAATGACAAACAATTTGAACAGACAAAAAAAGATCAAAGAAAGTAAACTACTCTTTGATACATGTATTATATAGTTTCGCAAACAAGGAACGAGAAAATGAAAATTTTCGAAGAAATAGAGGCAAGTGTAATACTGTTAGCTAATGGTATTATTGATAAATTCTATGTATCAATAAATAATATAACATTGTTTAAAGGATGAAATTGGGTTAATGATAAATCAATTATTTGAGAAATATCACAAGATTTTAATATTGTCAAACAATATTACATTAATAACAATATTATTTCATACTTTTTTTCTTTTAGCTCGGTAAAGTATAAGTATTAGAATTTTATTGCTATTATGCCTTCATTGGATTTTATTCTAACTTTAGATATATCGTATATTTTGCACAATGATATAAAAAATTTTTATGGTGTTTTCATGATTTGCTGATTTGATGGTAAGTTTTATGTCAATTACATATATATATTCATTATATTTCTACATTATCGATATTATAAATTCGCGTTTTACAATTAATTCGTATAAAATTCTTTTTCCATTGCGTTAATTAATATCTTTTTTTCTTATACTAAAATTCTTAATCTTTATTACTTAATTGAAAATATATTTTTATACGGTTTTAAACGGAATGATAATAAGAACAATTAAATTGCATTACATATAATTATAATTAATAATAAACATAATTTTATATTAAAAATCTTATTTAAATTAGTTATATCTATTAAATATTTTTGATTTAATACCTTATTTTAATACAACGGTGTAATATATCGCAATACGATACTGTTCACAATGCTATTTTCCAATTGGTTAAACATGTAAGGCCACGTGATGCTTGCGGAGAAACGCGCTTGCGTATTATCGTGAGCGTTGTGCGGGAAGAGTGGATCGAGCTCCCGCCACCTCTACCGTCGTAACTAGTAGTGTGGCTCAGCTGTTTCTGTTTACTAAACAAAGGAGCCAGAAATCAGTTCAACGGTGGACGGCGAGCGGGGCACGTTCGTGTGTCCGTTAGCGACACCACTTCTTTTTCTAACCCTTTTAGACCAACCAATAAACCGATCTCGCTTCATGATCGCAGGCAAAAATCGCGAGTGCTTCTAACCAGGATATTTCTCGAGCCTCGTCGATTGTTAACCACCGGATACCGGAGCGATATCGGAGGTCCAAAGCACGCAGTGAGACGAGGAAACAGTGAGTAATACCTGTATTATCTCATGTAAAATAAAAAATAATAGTATGTCTGTCATTCAATGGTAAGATGATCCTTGACCCGATTCTTTCGTGATATTCTTGTACAACGTCTTCATTCCGTTCTCATTCATTCTTTCCGAACTTGTGCTCAATCGATCCACCCTAGCATCCGATGTAAAACGAATGTTTTCTTTCCTTTATATCACTAGAGATTCTAGCAAATTTTATTCGATTGAAATTCGAACATAAAGCTCTAGTTATAAGATTTGAAGTATCGTATATTGCGAGACACAATTATTTGACATGTTAAGATACGATTCAGACATGAAAAATAAAAATACGTGATGATTGTTTGTTTTAAGATAATCCGTTTTCTTCGATGATTCTGAAGATGCTTAAGAAGATTACGATGTAATCATTTAATGATAGAATGGATGACATTTTACTGCGCGTTGTATATCTTACATAATCATTATCAGCTGTATGCGCGCGTCAATCTACGTTTCTAAATGCTTTTGACAGCTGTTACTATTATATTTTCATTATAGTCGTTATTTTCTTGAACTACTTTTTTAGTTACTTTTCTTACGATCATTGTTCTAAATTTAACTTTTGAAATTTGGGATAAGGTTTTCATGATACGTTAGGAAGTTGACTGATTTATCGACAGTAGCAAAGGTTCATTAGTCGTAAATTATAGATGTCGTTTAGAAATATATAATTCGCAAATATAAATAAACAGACTTAAGTTGAAAAATAGAGATCAAAAATTTGATAAATGTGTTTTTATTAATTAATTTTTGAAGTATATATTTTCAACAGGCATTAAAATCGGATGATAATAGAGCGTGAAAGAAACTTAAACAGAGAGGCACTAAATATGAGAATTGCGTCGTTCCTTGTCTTCTAACCTCAAGGACAATGCAATTGAAAGGAATAGTACTTTAACACGTTTGTTCAGACATAAGGAAATACGAAATGTATGCACATTAAACAACATTTCATTTTTTGCTATTAATTTTTTTACCTCTAATTCAATTTGATAATCATCTTTAAAAAACAAAAATATTTAAAATAGTTAAAAATTTTATATTGTTATCTTATGAAATTGATTAAACGAATTATGATAAATTGGTGATAGCATATCATTTTTATCAATTTTTTCAATAAAAATATAAAAATCTCAGTATAGAGAAATTCTATTGCCTATTTTACATGCATTGTATGTTTATAGAAGACGTAGATTATATAAACGAAGACCAATCGACTCCACACACTTCTAAAACGTTTACGATTGTAATATATGCATTTCGATGCTGAAAATAGTCTCATAAATAAATGATTGAGAAAGCAACGTGTTAAATTAAATTTTGTTTATTAAGCTTTTAAACAATTAATTTTTTAATCTATTCTTAACTATAAGAAATGCTCGTTATAACAGAGTTATATATATATATATATAGTATACATATATGAAGAATATTCCTTTTATATTTAACACACTTCAAAATAGGAAGTAATTAGTGTGTTCATTCACATTAATATAAACGTTAGAAATGATTTTGTTTCATCATCGTTTCTTATCATTGATGAATGTTCTAAAATAAGCGAGAATTATTTGCTATATTTTTTTCATTACGAAGAAAGTGATTTCTCCGCATAGATGAATAATCATTTTTTCCTTTTTTCCATTAGGATTCGTCTTGTAAAATGTATTTTGTGCGTAAAATTGATTTTCAAAACAGATTTCACAGAAAATAAAAATAGAAAAAAAAAAAAAAACAATTATAAAAAAGAAATAGAGTTTCAGGGAAAGTAAGATTCCCCGTATCACAGAAACGATCGATCGAATGTGAAGTGATTCGACCATAGAAATCGAGAGAGGCTGCTGGTGTGTTCACGTTAAATCGTTGATCCGTATCGTACTAGCGACCAGCATTACTGAACCGTCGCGACAGTTCCGAAGGGAGAGGCCCTAGTACCGATGAGTATGCGCACATATTCTTATATACATATAATAACGATGTTCAATGTATCTCTTGTCGATTTTCACACACATGTCAATAATTGCCGTGCACCGATGCGAGACGTGCTCTTAAAAGCCGAGAAACGAACAAAGAATAGGCACATTGCGCGCGCAGAATTTCCCAATCTCGTCACCCATCATCGTGTCACGTTTCCAACCTGTTAGAGTCATCTGAAAAAACATTTATGAATCTACTCGATATATTTTTTTTTCCGTTCATTAACTATTTTAAAAAGAATTGAAAAGATTTTCGTTATTATTTTTTTTAATTAATTAACTAATTCGAGTTGTTGAATGGTTAATTATTCGATTGATAAGCACATGAAGTATAAACGTAACGGAATAGAGAAAAGGTTAGGAAACGTGTATTCTCTTATATCGTGTGTGGACGTTAGAGAGATAGATGTGCTACGCGTGTATCGTAAATATGTCTATGTAGAGGTGTATCGTTGTAAATGCGTGGTTGATATATCTATACACGTGCATAATGCTCGAGTCGCGAGCAGAACGAACGGCAACCTTGGGCAACCGAGTAATATTCCAAGAGGCGGGAGAGCATTTGCGCAGTATATACAAACCACCAGCGAACTTTCGTCGATATTTCCTTTTATCAGTTTCCCGTTAATCCTCGAGAAAAGAATAGGTCTCGATTATCGATTTTTTCGATAGTTGCTTGAATCGAACAGAATACGATCTTTTCTCTTCATTACGATAAAAACTCGTAGGTATATATTCCATTTAAAAATTTTTACTTCGCCTTCGGTTAGAAAGTAACGTTTATCAGTTTTTATTATTTCCTACTACTTTAAACGAAGATAATTATAAGAAAATTATGGTAGAAATATTTCTTTGAATTCGAGAGAATTCCTTTTTTTTAGATTTTTTTTGCTTCGTGTCTCGTAATAACTTTCTAAATTTTTAAATCGCACGAGAGAAAAAAGATAATTATTGACACGCGAAACGTATATATCAATAATTCCGTAACAATATGAGAATATAATTAGAGAACAACCATTTTGATACGTGATGATTCGATCATCCTTGAAATATCGATATATCTCGAAACTAATCGCTCGCTGTAAGACACACGCGAAACAGCTTTCCGACTGACCCACTAGTCGCTAGCTTCTGCTTGACATTTCGTAACCGTCATTGGTAGCTTATATTTAGCTGTGCATTACCACGTGCGGAGCAAGACATAAATTCGTCTAATATCGTTGAACTACCACCAGAACTTGAAGAATCATCAGCTGTTCAAGCCACTTGCAAGCTAACTTGATTTTAACCTGTTAACTTTTCAAGTATTTTACAATATATATTATAATTGAATTCAAATTATATTTTGAATTTTTTAATTTAAAATAGATTTGCCACATCAAAAAAAAAAAAACGCGTTGTAATCATAAAATTTTAGAATAAAAAATTTCAAATATCGCGAAGCTATTATATTTCTTGTCTGATTTAACGATTTTCAATTAAATTAGTTTCCGCAATGAACAATCGTTGCGGTTGGTAATATTAATTTTATAAGTGCGAGTAGTTGGTAAGTAAAATCATCGGTAAAAGAGAAAGTCGCGTTTAGCATTGTTACCCTGCTCCGATGTTAAACTAGTTAACAAACTATAATTGCAACCATATATGATGCAATCCAATGCATTGTATAACACGGTTCATACGTTATCTGCCGATTCGAAGTATGAATATTATTAGTAAGATTTTAATATAGGAAACACACTGTTTTTAAATTTTCTTAACGGTTCGATATGTAATATTTTCAGATTACATTTGGACAAATGAATCGGTCTTTACCCCAAACTTTCTACACCAAAAGGAATCACCGTGAAGTAATTTGTGTGTTCCCAAAACTATCCAGTGACTATCCATCGACCTGTTGTTCCAATTCCAGTACCAGAAATGGCAACTAAATTCCTAATTCGCACAATTCGCTTTTAATATTCGCTCGAATTCGCTTTGTAACCATTGACTCGATATCAAGATAACTGGAAAACTTATAAATTTAACGGTAAACTTTTTAAATTTAAACTTTTAATTCGTTAATCTAAATTTTCATATAACATTTTTTAATCGATTAAAAAAAAAAAAAAGAAGAAAGAAAAAGATCGACGTCCAATTATAGATGCGATATATAGCAGAAATAAGTACTTGAAACAACGTCTACTCGCTGCTCTCTGCGTCAATTAACCCTCGCAACGTAACGCAACTAAAATATCCTATCGACGTGGACCGAAGATATAAAATCAGCCTCGAGCATCATCATCTGCTTTGCCGCTTGTTATTTATATCACTCTCTACATAATACAGCTGGTTTAATTGCCATTATTATCCAGCACGCACCGTCGTGTCCCATTCAGGTCGAATCCCAAGAATCCCAATCTGCCAGAGGAATCGGTTAATGGCGTTCGAGAGGTGTTTAAAAGTGATCGAATCGAATTTGAAAGCGCTTCGCTAGTAAATCCGTCTACACCGTGCTACAATGGTGCATCGAGCTGCTTCTAGTGGGCTTCTCGTCGGCCAGACCCGTCCGGAGAAAGTTAATTTCGCATGGCCGTTGAACCGATATCGCGATTACGTAGGGGAAGCCGGGGACTATAATGCAACAACGACTATTATGCCGGTCCACTGCTGTGCGTCGAGCGGATCGCGCCGACCTTTGTCTCTCCGTCGCTCTGCCCACCGATTTTCCACGGGGATGAAACTGTTGCGCCCCTCTTGCCGCTAACCTGCTACGGGGATATATAGATCGGCTAGTTTTTCTCGAGTCGAGAGAGAGCACACGTTGCAACGTAACAAGATAAATTCGCCGTTAGAAAGGCGATCGCGGGGCGACATATATGTACACAGAGACGGAATCAATGGTTAAAAAGTTTCGTGTAAATGGAAACGACACGGGTTGGCCTGCGTCCAACCTCGTGGACGCGTTTTTTCTCTCGGCCGACGGCTGGCACGTCGGATCTCCGCCAAATTGACGTAACGTTTCCCCTCCCCCCTCCCTCTTCCCTCTTCCCTCCCCGCCGTCGCGATATTCCGTAATCGTCCTCGTCGCAGTTCGTTGCACCCGTACTCGTACTTTTAGTTTTTCTTTCTCTACTTCTCGAATTTTTTTTCGAGTAGAAACTGCCGCATTCCGCTCCTAGTTCCTCTTTGTCCTCGTTATCTTCCATCCTTCCGTCCCGTGACGTGACATCAACGCCAAAAGAATATTGAACCATATATATAAAGGTGATGGTTCAAAAAGAAACGGTTCAATTCGAATAATTCACAAGACAAGCGATGTAATTTTAACGCGTTCGGTGAAAGTCGAACGCGTTCAATCCGACTATTCGTTCCGTTGTGAAACGATAGTTTCTTCAAACGTTCGGCGCATGCGTGTAGAGTCGAGCCGTATGTATACCGTGAGATAATCTTTCAGCCTTGTTCCTTTCGAACTGTTCCTGCTACACACGTCGATTCGCATTTTTGCATTTCGAGAGAGATTCGACGAAAAGGAGAACTACCTTCGGAACGATCTTTTGTCCAAGAAGGTGGGAATGGAATAGGGGAATCGCGTGGGTGAAGCTCGTTCGTCGTTTTCCAGCGACAACAAGGGAACCAGTACCGGTTTTCCTATGCGCAAAAAGACAATATGCGCGACCTTAACGAATATGGTCAGACCAGATATCCCGACGTTTCGACCTCGAGGAATCCGTTCGATCCACGGCTTTTTTTCCCTGCCCCGGCCGCTCTTGTCCTCTCTTCTTTTTTCCCTTTTCTTCTTCCTTTTCCGGATAACAAAAGCAGTCTCGTGCATCTCGTGAAACTTTTCTTTGTCTCTTCTCTCTTGTACAGCGTTCGGTGCGTACGATCAATAGAAACGACGATACGTAGAAATTTTATAAACGTATTAACATGTATGTTCTTTTTTTTTTTTTTTTCTTATAATAATAAAACAATTATACATCGAAAGTAAGGGCGATTATTGAAATTGGCGACCGGTTTCAGAATGCAGTAAACATGCCGTCATTGTTAGAGGCGCTGGAGCTGAAGTACGGCAGTTCAACGACCGACTGCTCCCTCACGGACGAGGAGACCGAGTCGAGCTCGCCGAAGGCCGCCCTCTCGGTCAGCATCTTCATCCCGAAGAAGTCGCCCCGGCACACGGTGCCCGCGTTGCTCGTGTTGCAGGACTGCGACATCGAGTCGGCCGGGAACGACGCGGAGAAACTCAGCAAGAAATGCAGGAACGTGGAGGAGCTCGACCTCGCGCAAAACAAACTGTCCCAATGGAACGAGGTGTTCGGCATTCTCCAGCACATGCCCAAGATCAAATTCGTGAATCTTAGCTTCAATTGCCTGGCCGAGGTTCTCGAGATCAAGCACGGCAGCTACGACATGTTGAAGAATCTCGTGTTGAACGGGACCAGGGTCACCTGGTCGACGGTCCAGGGATTGATCCGTCTACTTCGCAATCTGGAGGAGCTTCACCTCTCGTTGAACGAGTACAAGACGGTCGACCTTGACTATCAATTGCCCGAGAATAAGAACGTGTCCGTGAAAAAGTTACATTTCACCGGGAACCCAGTCGAGGTGTGGAACGAAATTTCGAAACTTGGCTACGTGTTCCCAAATCTCGAGAGCCTCGTGCTAGCCGAGTGCCCGATAAGGTCGTTGGCTCTTGTTGACAATAGAAACTTGAACGAGGAGCCGTGCTCGAAGAAGGGGGCGGAGGACGACAACGAGAATATGAACAGCGTGGTGGCGGAGGAGGAGGAGGAGGAGGAGTTGGAGGGGGGCGGCACGTCGCTGGTGGACGAGAAGGGAAACAGGATATTCAGCGAGGGAAAATTGAATTACGACAGATCAGAGTCGGAATCGGAATCGAGCGGCACGACTATCAGATCGTCTCACGATCCTTTCAGAAAGCTAAGGTTTCTGAACGTGAACGGCACCCTGTTGTCCACGTGGGACGACGTGGAACGGCTTGCCAGGTTTCCAGCGCTTAAATCGTTGAGGATTCAGGGCTGCCCTCTCTTCGAGGTAAATTCCTTTTTTTTTTTTTTTGAAAATTTGGAATGTATCTCTTAGCCATTGAAATAACCGAGATCGGAGAGAAAAATAGAAAAGGAAGACGAGAGAGAGAGAGAGAGAGAGAGAGAGAGAGAGAGAGAGAGAGAGAGAGAGAGAGAGTAG